GCAAACCTTATGTTTTCTTACAGGAAACTGAGGCAATAGCCCTGAACAGTGCTCCGGTGGGATGGATCCCTCCCAATGCTGGTGTGGATCCGGGAAAACCACCATGAACTTTTTGTATATATGTATCGCTTGCTGTTGTGCTTGCAACCACTGTTGTTAGTTACAGACTATTGAAATGAGACATGGTACTCCAACTCGCCATGGTCTTCTTCCTCATCCCAACTGCTACTGCTGTACCAGAACACCTTACTTGACTCCTCTACTGGACTGGGAATCGAGTTTGTCCCTCTCAGCCCAAATGACTGGTGAAACAAAGTGACATCTTCCGATGGGGACCGGTATGGTTCGATGACAGCGACTACCGCAATCCTCTAAATAACTCTGGGGGGAGGTTAAGGGGGGAGGCAAGGGAAGTGGCAACAAACGGTATGGGATAAGACATGCTGTAACTAAAAATGTAAAGCCTCATGGCTAGATTGTCTAGCCCAACACCTAGGACTTTCGTTAACTCCCTTCCTTCACTCTATTGTAAATACTATATTAACCATTTTACTTGTTGTAATTGCTTGCTGCATGTTTCTATGTATTGTTAGGTATTTTGTGTACACTGCTACCTCCTTTGCACAAATCTGGTATATGGCGTTGGGAAGTGATCCTAATCAATCCCTTGATCCAAATTATCTGATCAGACCCTGCTGATAGGGCGATTTTAGCTTCCTCCAAGGAGGGCAAAGGGTGCTGGCATCACCGCCATCTTGCGTTCTGGGACATAGTGAGGCGTGTCAAGGGGGTGGAATGTAGCCAGACACAAACCCCATCTTGTTTTTCCACGAACCCCATCTTGTTTCCCCTGCCCCAGAGAGCAAGAGAAAGGCAGTCAGCCTTTGATGCCCTGGGAACGCAGGTGTGGTGCCTGTCCCTGACTCTACCATAAACAGAAACCAGACAGTAAATGGGCTAGCTGACGACCCGGGGCCTCCCGTCGCCCTGATGGCTAGTACCAGTAATTGACACGCCTGCACTGTCCCAGGAGAGGAATCTTCGCCCATCACATACCAGAGGTGCCCATTGTCTGCATTTTCCCAGGTGTAAATTATGCTTTGCACCCTTCGTGGGAAACTTGGCATTCAAAGCCATTTTTCCTAATTGGCCACTTGAAACCAGGAAGAAGCCTTCATGACCCAAGGGGTATAAAAGAGGTTCAGCTGCCCACCCCATTTGAGCTCCAATCATCTATACCTGCTGGCAGGTATTGATTGTCTCCCGAGGTCTGTGGGACGCCCAACCTCGCCCTACTTCTTCCCGAGGGATTGAGAGAAAGACGCTGGCCACGCCAAGTCTGGAACGCAGGGGTGAGAATATATACCTGCTATGTGTCTATTTTGCATGCATTTAATAAGAGCTCAGAGAACCAAAGGGTTTCATGGTACCTGTAAGTGACTTATTGGTGTAATTTCTGTCCTGTCCTTTGTAGTGTCTGTGTTATCTGTAACACAGTAGTAGCATTTAACAACTAAGTTTACCCTGTAACAATAAATAGTAACTGTTTAAGCTTTAACCTGACTCCTTCAGTTGCTGTAACAGAACCAAGCACAATTTAAAAGAACTTCAGCCGGTCATAAGGGACTCACTGCCCTGACCGTCGGCTGACATTGAGGAAAGGAGTGGAGTGGGGGTAGGATATAGGGTGGAGGGGGCAGTGTCATGCACCTCCTCTCCTGTCTAGAGGAGGAGTCCGCTATACCTATGAACATAACTGGTTTACACATCTCTTAAAGTAGGAGTGTACAGCTCAGTTTAAAAAAGCACTTTTAAATTGTCATCATTGCTCTTTCCTACCCTTCCCCTTCTCTCTTCCACGGATTGCTAAATACAAGTTGAAAATCTCCTTGTACCGAAGGCTAAGATAAAATTCTCACTGATGTCAGATGCACAACTTAAGTGAATTTGCTTTGCAAAGACACAGTATATTATTTGTTAATCTTTGTCAGTACTTAATATAAACAAGTTGTGATTGTGACAGATATGGCAATTCCTGCAATATCCCAGACAAACCGTATTGAATTCAATTTAAGTATTTTAGGAGTTAGTTGTATTAAAAATGCAAATGTTTATGCATTATTGTGGAATAATATGCACTGTCTCTAGGGAGGAGAATCAACTAATGTAAATCTTGGGTAGTGTTAAAAGCTTCACAAGACTATTTGAAACAATGAGGACTTTTAAAGTTAAGTGGATTCTCCAGGAAATCTCTAGGGGAGGTGTATGTAAATTTGACTCCTCCAGTTATGCAAACCTTCCAGCCTTTTGAAGCTACACCCCGAGGAAAAACCTATTGTCCATGAATCACCAATTACCAAGTCAAAGACTCAGACTGTATAAAGAGAGACTTTAAGATTCATGGGCATTGTGAGCCAATGTAGTTATGAGCCTGTAATTACTGGCAAACTCCTAAATGGGGTTTGAAAGACTGCTCACCTGCCAGAACCCTTTCTAGAGTCAGGGTGCAATTTCTGGTCAGCTTATTAGCTCGTGCAGGTTCTATTATTTATTTTAATGCTTTCAATGTAAGAAGAACTGTGCTTGCACAGAAAGAGCTGCGTGGTAACTTAACTGTGGGAAGCCATGCTATTTATAGTTACTGAGGAAGGAAGGCAAAGCGGCCTCATGAATCTGTCTTCCTTTCTGATGAATTCACATTGTAGCCAGGGAGCTATGCAGAGTACCCATCACTAGGGAGAAAAAGTTGGGTCTCTGCCCAAGAGTTGGGATGGCAGAAAACTAATAGTGGGTGCCCTTGATCAACCACAGTGAGAAATAAAGATGCAGTTGCCTTGAACTCTGACAGTAATCTTCCCAGGCGTGCTAATATACCTATAATACAGAAATCATAAACAAGCAACACCTAATAGCTTCAGCACAGATCACATGTGTGGTACAAACATGGACGCCAATGAAGAGCATAACAGATTGCAAGCCTTCGAGACAGAGAATCTGCAGTATTCCAGTAAAGGTCATCAATACCTATATCGCTGCCCTGACTGATACCAAAACTCATAAACATAAACTCCTTGACTGAATTAACCTCGTTATCTCTAGCCTGATTCTGGCCTGCATACTTATCCCTGCCTCTGGAAATTTCCACTACATGCATCTGAGGAAGTGGGTCTTTGCCTACGAAAGCTTATGCTCCAATACATCTGTTAGTCTATAAGGTGCCACAGGACTCCTTGTCACTCGTGCAAACACAATCCTGTGGTTCTTTGCAAGCCTAAAATAGCATTGTAGCTTCAAAGTAATCTACTTTACCTGATAGAAAACATGGCACACACACACAGACAAAATAGATATCCACTCACCTTGCATCCTCTGACAAGGTCATGACCCCAGTAATTTGGTGCACATTTATCACATTTCTCTCCTATGGTATTGGGAGGGCATACGCAGCGGCCGGTGTCTGGATCACAATTATTACCAAGATGGGAACACTCACAAGCTTCAAGGGGGAGAGAGAGAAAGAGAGAAATAAATAAAACAGAGAGAATGTTACCCTCCATTCCTGACATGCTAATCTTCCTGGCTCCCCTTCTTTTCACTCTTTTGCTTCCAAAGAGGAGGCAGAAAGAAAAAAAGGCAAGAAGTCTTACCACCAAACCTATTGCAACTCCAAGTAAAGCTAATAGTGTGGGCAGCAGGATCTCTACATGTGTCAATGAGATCCCCTTTAGCTGCATCTGCTTCAGAAGCTGTTAAATAGGTAAAACAGAAATCTAGCTCCTGTTCTTCACCATATTCTGCTTTTAATGGTCAGTAATAAACTCTTCAAACAAAATTAGACTCTGGTTTCAAATAAAAGTGTGAGTTTAGAACAACGTAATACAGCAATAGAAGAAATAAATCAATGAGCTTGATGATAAGATTCAGAATTTTTATGAAGAGAATGGTAGCACTAAAGCTCTAACTGGAGCACTTATCAGAGAAAGTTGGCTGCTCATAGTAAACCTGAATTTATGGAAAAATTATCAAATGTACAAATGTTTAGATTCTGGGTAGTCCCAGCTCATTGTGTGTTGAAGAGCTAGCAGTTAAAGTTTCAGCTTTTTTAGCTTTATTGGTCGGTACCAAGACACCTTAAAATATAATGGGCCAGATTATGACCAATTTAACACTTCCACAAAGGCTGGCATAGGACATTTTTTTAGTCTATGCTGTGGGCAGCATTTGGGTGGGGAGCTGCTTCCACAGGGGGTGAGAAGTAATTTGCTCAAGGTCCATAGATTATAAAACACTGGTCAGATACAAGACACTTGTAGGATACAAGCCACAGAACTTCCCCAAATTAATTCCCGTTTAAACTACGGCATATTTTTTAGATTAACTTTCAGTCTTGACTAAAAAATTGCCAGTGATAGAGCATACACTGCCATCTCTGGTAAGTTTTCCTAATGGTTACTTGCTCTCACTGTTAAAAATATAGATAAGGGAGGTACATGGTTGGCACAGTTACTCCATCCTCACTCCCGCACTCCCCACTGGAGCATAAGAAGTGCATTCTAACTATGAGTGACTATCTGTTCCCTGATCTATTTCTATGGGACAGCACAATAATGTACTGCCCCTTGCATAGGGATTGTGGCACAACCACAGTTGAACACACTGAACAGATAAAATATACCCATAAAAAACTTTCTAAATGTTAAAATATTTCTATGCCAACTAGAACTCAATAATGAGCATAGCATGGAGATGAAACAGTTGTCTGTAGTTTGGTAAAAGTAATCTCTCTAAAACAAATCAACTGCTGCAGAAAATAATTAAATGTTTGCCTTGAACCTGCAAGGACCTCCATGCAGACGGACACCTCGGCCTCCACAGCTGCACTAAGTGCATGTTGGGGCAGTGGTTCAGCCATGCAAAATTCTCTGAGGGACTTGAATTCTCTTCTCTGGATTTTCAGACTTTAATATTATTCCTAATACATGTTGTTTAATTAAAATTAATTGATATAAGAATATACAGTAATTGTAGGGTGTCAGCTTAATAAAATAAATTAATAATAAAAAAGAACTTATTTGTCGTAGATGAAAAACTGGATTCACATGTAGAAATCTCATAAATCTTTTCTCTATAGATGTCAATAATATATTGTGATACTTTGTTTTTCTATAATATGCCTTTGTAGGTTTTATGTATTTTTATTATGCCAAAAATCTGTAAATTACATTCCTTTAGGATAAATGCTAGATAAAAGAGGCCCAATATTTTATTCTACGCTTAGCTGTCTCTCTGGTGCTCATTTTCATGGACTTTTTTTCTAGCATGATTTGATATACTTTAAAACATTCTTTCTTTTCTATGTGATTCATTATTCAATTCCTGTACTTTTTGTCTTTTGAAAGAATATATAAAAAGCTTACTAAAAATAAATAGGAGGAAAACTGCATTTTTAACATAATTCCTCCTTGTCTATTTTCTTCATTTTAGAACTTGTAAAAATCTCAGTCTTTCTAACGTTTTAAGTAACTAGGTTTTTCCCCAATTACTTTCTCATCTGGTCCAAAGAAAATATTTTTCTGTTAAGCTTCTCCTCTACCATCCCTAAAACAACTCCCCGCACCCCACCCTGCCAAAAAAACCCAACAAAATCCCCACCATTTCACCTAGATTACTCTTAATCTAATTTAAAACATTGTCTTTTTATGTTTGAAGACACAGAATTTAATATTTTAATGCAAAATCTCATTTATTGTTCTTTCATGTTCCTTAGCCAACTACATAAAAACATTTTGTAGTGAGTAGGGAAAAAATGTATTTAAGAATTCTGATTACTTGTCGTATGATTAAAGACTGGACATTTTTTAAAAAGATACCTTTAATTCTGTGAATGTTAGCCCATTAAGGATGGCCAGAAAACAAGAATTCCATTTTATGAAAAACACTGAAGTCTCTGTGTTTGGTCCTGTTCCAATGTAGAATAAAGTTAAAGCTTTTGAAACTGATCTAGAGACAGTGATACTGACTCTAGAGAGTGCTTGATTTCTACCAGGGACTTGAATTTGCCCCTCCCACGTTTTACTAACTACTAGGCTATAACTCTGAAGGATACCTTTCTTGATCTCTCTCTACCCCAAAAAGAAGTTAATTATTTACACAAAGTAAAACTGCTGCAAAAGGACAGAAGAAAAACAGAGGCTAATTCTATAGTCCAGTGCATTAGGTACTTCCTAGGAAGCAGAAGATCCAGGTTCAAGTCTTTGCCATGCCAGATCTGGACCAGCAACTAGAACCTGGGTATTCCACACCCCATAAGAGTGCCCCAATCAGTGGGCTCCTGGCTATTCTGGGTGGGTTTTGAGCAATGTCTACCCTTCCCCAAAGAAACATAGACCATAGAATCCTTCCCAACAGAAGTTCTGTTGAAATGGATATGTGCCTGTGAGAAAAAAATGGTTTCAACTTCCTGAGATTGTTATGCTTAAACGAAGCACACAATATCTTTTATGGGGGAAAAGTCAGTATGCCACATTTATTGAGAATTTAATCGTTGCATATGCTTTTCAATTACACACACACACACACACACACACACACACACACAAAACATCATGCATACACAGTTCTGCCAGATGATATAGTTACCAGTCCAGAGTCTGTGTCAATCTAGTGTCCAGCTAGATCGAGCACAGGGGGGAACAGGACCTTGTCGGTCAATCGATCCGATGCTCCTCTCCAGACAGTGGCAGACAAACCCAAAGTTCCATAGCAAAGCACCCTACCATTTATAATCCTTCTTCTCTGTTAAAATCCATGGATCCTGCTCTGTCAGCTTGTGACCAGACTGTTATCTTGTTGATGTCAATCGTTCCCAAACACCTCTTCAAGGCTCATCCTGTAATCAATCGTCCTTTTGGGGGTGCCCACTCCACTTCAAGGTTCATCAATCTGCCAATCTGATCCATTCTTGACCGTGGGTACGCACTGACGGTTTTTCTGCTCTTCACAGTCTTTTACAGTTTGTATTCACCCCACATTCTCCCCATTCTCTGGCCATCTGGCTCTAACGATGACCTTCACACCATATCTCATTCATGCAAACAGTCTCTCACACAGAATCCTTTAAAGGTAAACAATACTAAGTGAAATCAAAATCCAAACAATTCACATTGAAGGCCCGGGCCTTCAATATTTCTAATCTCATTAACATAGTCACAATACCCAGAACTCTGTCTCTTTACACACTACACTTTAAAACAAGGAGGTATAGGAGATATATACTTAACTAAAAGGACTTAATTCAATACAATATTAAAATGTATGTTGATATATATGTGTATATTGCTATATTACTATATTGCCAAACCTAAAATGCAAATATAAAAAGAATAGAGCTGTCAGCCCTAACAAGATTTCCTGGCAAAAAATATTTTGTTGGAAAATTCTTGACTAGCTCCACTAAGGGCTTGGAGCAGGGTGCCTGGACAGAAGGGAGAGTGCAGGAGCAAGGGAGGGTGTCAGAGCAAGCTGGGAGTGCGGGGTCTTGGCGGGGGGAGGGGAACAAATGAGGGGGACTTGGTGGGGGGGGGTCTAGGTATGAAGGGGGATGGCACCCCCTTGCAGTGGGGGTTTTGTTGGAAAATTCTTGACTAGCTCCACTAAGGGCTTGGAGCAGGGTGCCTGGACAGAAGGGAGAGTGCAGGAGCAAGGGAGGGTGTCAGAGCAAGCTGGGAGTGCGGGGTCTTGGCGGGGGGAGGGGAACAAATGAGGGGGACTTGGTGGGGGGGGGTCTAGGTATGAAGGGGGATGGCACCCCCTTGCAGTGGGGGTGTTACGGGGCTGCTGGACTCAGTGCAAGCTGGGACCGAGCAGCCTTTGCTCACGCTGGTCACTGTACCTCTGCATTTTAAATGTAGTAAGAGTCCGGCGGCTATTATTACATTTAAAATGCAGAGCCACAGCACAGGTGGCTCCCAGAGCTGTGGATGGGGGGGGTCTAGGTATGAAGGGGGATGGCACCCCCTTGCAGTGGGGTTGTTACGGGGCTGCTGGACTCAGTGCAAGCTGGGACCGAGCAGCCTTTGCTCACGCTGGCCAGAGCTGGCACGAGCCAGGACTGCTGAGTTCCAGCTCGAGCCAGCTCCTGAAGGTACCCTACGGTTGCTCTGCACAGCAATACTTATTGACTAATCATGTAGTTGATACAATTTGTATCGACTACATGATTAGCCTGATAACCACAATTTAACCACAATTTAACACCCTTACCTTGAACCTCATTCCTCTCTGTCCCATCCCCTCGCCCTGTGGCCAGATCAGTGAATAATGGGGAGTTAGAGTTAGCAACTGATGGTCCACGGAAAGGTTTACATTGAACCAGGTAGTTCACAAGCCAAAATGTTTGAGAACCACTGAAATAGAGGTACCCCTGGCCTCTTCCCCCAAGTTAATGCAAGTTGGATTAATGCAATTGCAGCATAGTTGCATGGGAGAGTCAGTTAGCAACTGATGGTCCACGGAAAGGTTTACATTGAACCAGGTAGTTCACAAGCCAAAATGTTTGAGAACCACTGAAATAGAGGTACCCCTGGCCTCTTCCCCCAAGTTAATGCAAGTTGGATTAATGCAATTGCAGCATAGTTGCATGGGAGAGTCCTGTGGAGGCCAAACCCATCCCTATTGGCTGAGGACAGTGGGAGGAGTTATTAAAGGGGGCACATGACACCCTTTACTTCCGGTCACGTGTCCATCTTAACCCTGTAAGTACTACCTCCAGGGGTGGGACTTCATGTGACAGGTTCAGAAAATATGGTAACTGGAAGGATAGTCCAAGAAAGAACAAAATGCACACTGAGAAGGAAAAATCTGCAATAAGCCATTAAATGAACCTGATTATTTACGTACGAGTGCATCCTCCTTCCTCGAAGTTGTAAAACCCATGCGCACAGCGATCACATTTCTTTCCTGCTACACCAGGCTGGCAGTGGCACTGTCCATTCTCATCACAGTCGAAGGATTTGGAACCAAAAGAATTGCAGTTACAGGGAATGCATCCTCCAGATGACTGTAGACCAAATGTTCCAGGCTGCCACACAAGACAGAGGAAGAGCATTCAGTATAGACGAGGTCTAGCTATAGCACAAAAAGTTAAATGGTAAATGTACTGAAGACAGAGAGTTTTACTCCTTCTCAAAGGCAGTAATAATAATTCGAGCTGAGGACATGAAGTATCGGCTCTGATATGAGTAAGTACTTAAAGATTTGATTCAATGTTAATATAATTAGGGTACTTTGAGTTGCTGTGTAAGCCTACTGAATTTTCTTATGATGCCCGTTTCTAGAATCTTTGTTCACATGCAGAATTGCAAGGCAATCAGATTGCAAACAGCCCCCCCAATTACATACTCATAAGGCAACCTCTGTGTAGCAATTTATTTCAGCAGGGAAAATTTGAAATCTGCTCTAAAAGGTCACACGTAGAATTTTGCCACTTAACCTGGCTGGAATGCCAGCTCCATCTTGCTGAACTGAATATTTGGACTGTGATACTATTGAAGGTTATAGTCATAAACTTACTGAGTAAATACATTATGCTTCAGCAGAGTCTGTTATACAATTTTCACATTACCATTATGACTTTGTTACATTTGTCTGATTTAAGGCACATCCGTGCTCCCTCAGAAAGGAAACAGGATTTAATGGGAGGATAGATTTCACCTCCTTAGGCCAGGAACCATCTCTCACACATTTGTCAAATGGTACATATGACTACAGCACTCTGTGAATAATGCAAAAAGATAAATTAGAAAAAAACAACAACTGAACTCTCTATTTTGCAGACAAAATAGAAGAAAAAAAAAACCCTTTACAGTAAAGGGCCAAATTCAGCTGTGATACAAGCAAATACAACTTTATTTACTTCAGTGTGAGTTGTACCATTTTATTCTAGTTTTGAGTGTTACCCATTGATTTCAATGAAACACCATGTAAGCAACTAAGGTCTGGGTACTGAAGTCTGATCCATGGAGGAGGAACCCTGACGTTCCATATGCCACAGAGATAGATCAGATTGCTGGGCAGAGGCTTACCAGAAGAATCATGTAAAAACAAATGATTATCCATATAACAAGCAATTATCCATATTTTCATTTCTACACTCGATAAACGAAATGCTACCCTGGTATGTATTTCAGCATGCTAAAACATAACAGAGAGAAAGAAATACCCCAACTCATTGTAATTAAATTTCAAAGTTCAATTAAATCCATAATTCATCTCTAAAGATTTATTTCATCAGAGGAAGAAATAGAATTCAAAAGGAGAAATGAGAATATGCAAAATCTCAGGACAGCCATTCAGATTAATGCAGTAAAATAAGCACAACCCAGCGTGCAGCTCAGTTCTCAGTGAAAAAGTTTGATAGGATCTAATACATTCTGTTTATCAGAGTGAAAACAGTAAAATTGGCTCAGAGGCTAGAACTGTATGGTGTGAAGGAAGGAAAGAAGCATCACCAGAATACTGTATTTTCTACAGTGATGAGTTTTGCATTCTGATAAGGCATGCAGCATTCCCCGCCCCCCCTTCTCCCTCCCCGAATGAATCCTCAATCAAGGCTATTTATATACTGAAATCAACATTTTGTTTTATAACAATCACTGTAAATGGGGAGCAAATGTCTGACTTCTAAAAGCCTGGAAAAAAAAACTTTCACAATGTACTACGTTTTGTTCTTGTGATGAATGTTCATGTGTGTAATGTATGTGCAAATAGTATTTGAGAATGTGGTTTGGGCAACAAAAGTATGTCCTATACCACTTCCATTTAGGAACAGTGCATTATAGTGCATTATAATTACACTAGCTTCAAAAACAGGCTGTTTTGACTAGACATGAAAAATGACGGATTATTCTGATTACAGTTTTCAGTTTGAGAAACAGGTTCTTCCAACAAGATGCATTTTAGCCAATAAAAGGAAGTCAGCTCTAATATCTGGAATGTGAACTAGTGAAAACTCAGGGTTTACTATATATGTTGATTTATAACCCATACATACATGCTTCATCAGCAGGCCGGATCCTTCTCCTGGTATCTTGAATCAGCAAAGATACAAAGTGAAATCTTGGCTCTGTTAAAGCGAGTGGAAAAACTCCCATTGATATCAATGGGGCCAGAAGCTTACTTGTAATTTTTGTATGTGTTATTATGGATTATGTTGTCTCTAGACTTTATCTGGTGTTTATGGGTTTCCTTACATTGTGCTCTATGCTAGG